TATATGAAGAAAAAAAAATGGGTTGATGCCAATGAAAGATCAGAAGCATAACTTGCAGGTATACGTTTTCTTTTAAAATTTCTACTATGTATACTGTCAAGAATGATATTCAATTGGAATATCTTGTCACTTTCATTGGATATATAATAATATATATACACGTGCAGGCAACACCATTAGCGTGTTGTTTTCAGATAATGTCATGGCATTATCTTATGATAGCTATAATATCTACAATTTACTCCTAAATATATGCAAATACATGACTGATTACATGCCTGTACTGTGAAAACCGGGAGACAGCTTCATATAGACATCTTCATCAAGGTCACCACGTAGAAAAGCATTATCACTACAAGAAAATTGTGAATTAGAGAGGGAAAGATCCCTCGCAAATCCCTCGGGAAACAGAATAGCGAGGGACTAGCGAGGGAGTTGCGAGGGATCATTCCCTCGCTAAATTCAAGTCGCTAATTAGCGACGGATGCATACCCCTCGCTACATTCCTTCGCATTTCCCTCGCAACCAGCTTCGCTAGTCTGTCGCAAATTTGTGCCTCTAATTCTTCGTTATCGCCTCGCAAATGTAGAACCTAAATTCCCTCGCTAATTGTATTTAATATTCCGTCGCTACTTTGTCGCTACTCCATCGCAATTATCCTTCGCGATATGGTCGCTAATTCCTCGCAACTCTGTAGCAATATATCAATTGAGGTCCCTCGCAAATCCCTCGCTAAACCCTCGCAAATATGTCCTTCGCAACTCCCTCGCTAAACCCTCGCAAATATGTTCTTCGCAAATCCCTCGCTAAACCCTCGCAAATATGTCCTTCGCAAATCCCTCGCTAAACCCTCGTAAATATGTCCTTCGCAAATTCCTCGCTAAACTCTCGCAAATATGTCCTTCGCAAATCCGTCGCTAAACCCTCGCAAATAGGTCCTTCGCAAATCGGTCGCTAATCCCACGCAAATCCATCAAAGCATATGAATTGAGTTCCCTCGCAAACACCACGCTAATCCCTCGCGAAACCTTCACAATTTGAATTTCCTCGCGAAACCCTGGCTAATATCTCGCGAAACCTTCCTAATTTATCTATATATACATTATTCTCTCATGAATTCCTGCAAATATGCCACTTAATTTGATATTTTAAATAAATCTAAATCAACTACATAATTTTTTTTTCAATTCGACATGATTTAAAATAAAAGTTGCATGTAACAATATCTCTTACAAAACCAAATTGTTAAATGTCTTACAAAATCCAACTTTTGCATACTATCTTAAAGAAACCTAAACTAATTAATGTCTTACAAAAAAGAAAATCCAAATAACAAGTCATCCTAAATAGTAATCAACCTAAGCTAGTAAAATCATCATCTCGTCCTTGATCCTCCCTATGTTGGTTGGTTGATGGTGTTGTTGATGGTTGAACTGCTTGAATTATTTGCCTCATCATCTCTGGTAATTGTGTTTGCAAAAAAGAGGCCAATGCATTATTTATAACTGCAGTGACCCGTTCTTCTGTCATAGGCGTAAGATTTGTAGAGGCACCTGCAACCTCTGGAGATGAAGCTTGGGTAGAGCTACTAGTTCCAAGATCCAAGCTATGTCCCATGCCATGCACTTTTTTCTTCTTGTTTTCACCTGCAGCTTTTAACCAAAGATCAGAATCAATTACAGGATGAGAAGAAGTGTCTTCTCCATAATTTTGTGTCATTGATTCTTCATATGTTTCCTACAAATAATAAACAAAAAAAAAAGTGAAATAGTAAGAGGTTAAAAAAGTACATAATCAATCTTAAAATATAATGTTTTATATGCGATCATATTAGTTTATTTGTTTACTGTGTGAAAGTTTAATATTTAATTTCTCACAAAGATTCTAAATAAATAAGATTTTTTTTATTAATAAGACTAAAATTCTAAAATATAATGTAAGTTCTTTTTATGCAAACCAGCTAGTAAATAATTTTAAATAAGAATAATTTCAATCTAGATTTCAATTTTAACCATTATGAATATAAACACACCAGTAATAATTTAGTCATTTTAATTATGTAATCAATTTAGTTGTTTTAACATACATACATATCATATGACTAAAATAACACCAAGAGAGAGATTGAATTGTTTTTTAAAAGTTTTGTTTCTTTTAAGTTCGGAAACTACCAGTTCAGAATGGAAAACATGTTCTAAGCTCATAGTGCAATTAGTTGGTTCAAGTTATAGAGTGGGGAAGCCCGTCAAGACCTAATGGGCCAACTCTGATCCACTTAAACCAAACTTAAAAACCATTGTCCAATTAGTCCAATTTATCATTTGATTTTAAAACATTATTTTTAAGTATTAAAATGTATTATTATTTTTTAATTATATTTGTAGAAATAAATATTTAAATTATGTTTGTGTATTGGAAAAAGAAAAGAAAATATATAAATTTTTACTATAAGTTAAAAAAATTAGCACATACGCAGGTTAAATAAGTTTTTTTTTTTTTTATTATTATTTTTTAATTATATTTGTAGAAATAAATATTTAAATTATGTTTGTGTATTAGAAAAAGAAAAGAAAATATATAAATTTTTACTATAAGTTAAAAAAATTAGCACATACGCAGGTTGAATAAGTTTTTTTTTTTTTTTTGGAAAAACTACTATTTTAACCTATGCATTAACTATTTTTTAATTTGTGAGAGAAACTTATTTCATCTATTATTTTTATTATTTTAAAAATATTTCAAGAGAAATTTATTTAAGTAGGACTATAATACAATAGTTTTATTCCATTACAATAGTTTTAAAGATAGGATTGTTTTTTCCCTAGGATACAAAGGCTCTTTGGAAGATTGGGTCATTACATTACTGGCACTACCAACCTGTCCTAAGAGCTACAGAATTGTTATAGAAGCATATAAAAAGTTTCCAAATTTCATAGTTACATTCTTATGTAAGAATCAACATGTAAAGGCAAAGTTCCAACTTCATAAATCATACAACAGTGAATGAAGAAACTCACCTGCAATTTATGGCTATCACCAACAATAAGAGGTTTCTGGTTCTACTTTCACAACCTGTCAAAGATAAAAAATATGCAGAGATTAACTAGTATTATGCTGCATCAGAAGATTGTAATCACTCTTGGCGTTTAAAAAAATAGAAAGGTATTGTGTAGATACCGAACATGGTGATGTTAGAAGCTGAACAATATTTAATTAAGATTTTAATGGTTATACACTATTAGTTACTCTGTCAACCAATCACCACTCATTACTATTATGACTTTTAAGATAATTAATATAAAAGTCAACAAACCTATTATACATGAAACTTTGTAATTGGATGCATACACTGTTAGTATATAGTGTATTTTACTATATAAGGAATATGAACAAATAAATTAATAAAAATTCAATTTCATTTATATGGTTTGGTATGAATCTAAAGATAAAAGCTAAAACAAAATGGTACATATATATTACACTCATAATTACCTTATTATCCACATTAATGACATTTATGAACAAAATATATAAATAAACTAACAAAAATATACATTAATATTAAAATTAAGGTTTTGATGTTTAGTTTTCAACTCATTCAATATAAAAGTTAATACATAGAAAAGTTTTTTAGATGGGGAGCAAGGTTCGGCAATGCAAAATCCATCACTTCACAGCCTATATCCTCCTCCTTGTAGTACCATTATAACACAAGAATAATGTTTCTAATTATTAAACATTTTTCCTTCTTAAAAGAATAATGCTACATCTCTTATTTTAATCCATAGAATCAGAATCTGAAACATCTTTTTTATAATAATGTCAACAAACCAACTGTAATACGCGTGCCTCAACAGTATCAATGATTATTATTTAAAAAATTTCATTACAAAATAAAAGAAGAAAAAAAGGAATTACCGAATGATGACGTTGGAGGTGTGGAGCAACTCTGTTTGAATATTTAAAAATTGAAGAGTAGATTCAGAAAAATTGAAGCATTGAATTCCAAAAAATAGAATTTAAGACTTGACTCTACTAAAAAATGATTGCACAAGTTTAAAACAACTAAATTTTGATGTAGTGTATGACACAATAGGCTCAAACTAAATTACTTGCCTTACATGAAGTTAGTAGGATTCCGAAGGCTGTTCATATGCCAGCAAAGCAACACAGTCCTATAGAATGAACAATCCAAAGGTAATTTAAATATCAGTTCAAGCATACGACAATTATAGTAGACCAACAGTAAAAAGGTAATTTAAATATCAGTTCAAGATTTATACCCCTCAAGAGAAAAGGCACAACCATTATGCTATGAATGCAAGAAACTTGGACATTACAAAATGGAATGTCCGGAACTGGAAAAGGAAAAGGAAAAAGAGAAGAAGAAGTTTGTCCCCTTCAAAAAGAAGAAAGCCATGATGGCCACCTGGGAGGATCCTGACACAACATCGTCAGAAGAAGACAAAGAAGCCAATATCTACCTCATGGCA